CATGTTATAAAACTTCGAATGTGCTCTCGTACTATCCAATTTTCATTTCTATTTAGATTTAAACCTCGGAGAACGTCCTTGTGCATTTCAACATACGGCTCAACCTCAATGTCATTGTGCAGAACATACAAATGCACTTGCTCCCGTTCAGCCCTTGAAACTGTCACAACTTTATTTTCAATGAACTGTTTTCCTACTTTTTTTCAATAAAATGAGATTTTGGGAGGCCAATGGATTGAACATTGGACAAATATTCATTACAAAACTCAATCGCTTCTTCAACAATGTATCATTCAACAATACATCCCTCTGGTCGACTTTGGTTTTTCGCACACCCTTTCAATATTTTCATATAACGTTCAACAGGGTACATTCATCTCATATAAGCTGGTCCACACAATTGTGTCTCTTTCACAAGATGAACAACTAGATGTACCATTATGTCAAAAAATGATGGAGGAAAATATATTTCAAGCTCACACAAAGTAATAACTATTTCTTTTTGCAATGATGGTAAGATCGCAGGATCAACCACCTTACTACAAATTGACCTGAAGAAAAAACACAATTTAGTTATTGCGCTTCTTACTTTTTCTGAAAAAATAGAACGTATACCTATTGGTAGAAAGTGTTCCATTATAACATGGCAATCATGTATCTTTAAACTTCTTAACTTGAGGTCTTTCATAGACACAAGTCTTCTAATATCTGAAGAGTATCCTTCTAGAACTTTAACTTCATAAAGAAACTTACACAATATCTTTTTCTCCTTTCTAGATAAAGTATAAGCAGCAAGTGGTAGATATATTCGATTTCCTTTCTTCAAGGGTCCTAATTCATTTCTATTCCCATCTCTACCAAGTCCTTTCTTGTTTTAAGACCATCCTTATACTTTCCTTGTATATTGAGTAACGTACTAATAACACTTTAAAATAATTTTTTTTCAATATGCATAACATCAAGAAAATTTCTTACATACAACGACTTCCAATTCAAAAAAAATTGTCCTCTTCTTCCACCCACGCGTGACAAGCGTATGAGCAAAAGGCTTGCCAAACTTAGTACTCACATCTTTCACCTTTTCATATATTTGTTCACCTGTCAATGTAGGTGGACCTCTACCTTGTTCTGAATTTCCATTGAATGCTTTTCTCCACCCACGGTAGTGATGATTAGAATTTAAGAATCTGCGATGACCAAGAAAGACATTCTTCTGACCAAATTTCAATCGCGTCCAATCTGTGTTTTCTTCACAAATAGGACACGCACATTGACCTTTAATGCTATACCCCGATATATTTCCGTATGCTAGAAAATCATTAATTTTTCCAAACAACATCGCCCTCAAATTGAAACTTTCTTTCCTATATCCATCATAAACCTCTACACTGTTCTCCCACAAACCTTTAAGTCTTCGACTAAAGGTGTCAAGTATAAGTCTATGTCATTCCCTGGTTGTTTAGGACAAGAAATTAACATAAATAACATCACGTAATTACGCTTCATACATAACCATTGAGGTAGGTTATAAATCATAATAATCACAGGCCATGTGGAATGTGAGATACTTTGCAGATCATGCGGTTCATTCCATCAGTAGATAATGCCAAGCGAAGGTTTCTCACTTCTTCTCCAAAATCAGGATACTCATTATCAATTTTCATCCACTGTGGTGAATCTTCCAGATATCGATACTTTCCATCTATAATTCTATCATCTGCATGCCAAGTCAAGTGTTTTGCATTTGTTTCACTATGAAACATGCGTCTAAATCTCGGAATTATAGGAAAATACCATAACACTTTTGTTGGGGACAACTTTTTCTTATACCGAGATACACCACATTCAGGACACTCGTTTAATGATGCATATTCATTTCGAAACAAAATGAAATCATTTGGACAAGCATGTATCTTATCATAGCTCATGCTAATAGAGCACGAGATTTTTTTGGCTTCATAAGTTCAATTGGGAAGAATATTATCCTCCGAGAGCATCTCTTTCATGAGGGCTAATAACTCTGTGAAACTTTTATTCGACCATCCATTGCCCGCCTTTAATTTGTACAACTTTAATACTGCAGACAATCTTGTGAAAGTAGTGCAACCTTTATACAATGATTTCTCTGCATCGATTACCAACCTCTAAAAACATTTTGGGACAATCCTGAAGATCTTCTTCAAGTGCTTCTGCAATATCTTCGACTCGATCATAGTCATATGTATCTGTGCCATTGTCGTTTGAAGCATAGGTCGTATTATCCCCCGGTTCAACATTCTCGTTACTTATCTCACCATGTAATGTCTAACATGTATAACTTCGATCAATTCCATGTCTCTTTAAATGCGATTCCAACTAAACTGCGCCAATTCGACACCCATAACAGCAACCTAAGTAAGGACATGTGATTTTACTCTTTTGATAATCGATTGGAATACATCCATTTTCTATCCATACTATTTAAGTAGGCTAAACTTAACTAAGTAAGTTAAACAACAACAGTGATAGCAACTGTAGAGAAGTCAGTAACTTCTAGAACTACATAGTAAGATTCTTGGAAACGATCATAATCTTACTCTTCACAAGTAACCCCTATAAAAAATTAACATACAAAATTAATTCAAGTTTTCATCAACAACATCAACATCAATATTAACAACATTCTCGCTACTTGTATAATTACGAATATTAGACAGATTGATTAAGAATGACAATAATAAAGATATACAAAATAAAGATAAAATAAAAATGGATGATACTACAGCCAAACTAAAAATAGTGGGAAATTTTTAAACATAAAGATAGAACAATAGAACAATGAAATGGTTTAGAATTTTATAAAAAAAATGAGTTTCATACAAATATTAAAGCATGTAGTTTTGTATAGCTATTTATTAACAGAGAAACATACATTAAGAACATATTGTTATTGCAAAATATTCAAAAGACAGTGATCATCTCTGAAATTATATTGAAATTCATAAAATAAAAAAGATTCGTAATAAACAATGTCAAGAAAAGGAATATTCAGAATTTGCAGCAAATGTCAAACAGAAGTTGAAAGAATTGAAATAGATAAACTTACTTGCTATCTATTGAATCAAAGTTCTAAAAAAATATACAGCAGAATAACAAAAATACAGCAGTAGAATAATAAAGATCTTTTAACAATGCAGCAACAATGCAAAAATACAGCAGCAGAAAAATACAGCAACAGAATAATCCTAATTTTCTCCAATGAAATTTCTTTGAATCAAAGTTCTAAAAAAACATACAACATAATAAAAAAATATATCCAAAAAATAACATTTTTTTACCTTGATAACTGGTTGACGGAGGAATACGCAGTCAAACGGAAGGATACGACAGAGGGAGACGCGGTCGGACAAACGGACGGAGGGAGTACGAAGGATGCAGTATGGTGGTCGGAGAGACGGACGGAGGGAGTAGGATTTTGTGTTGAGCGAGGGAAAGAATACGTACATGCACGAGAGTGAGAAAGAAAGAAGTATCGTGTCTGCAATAACAATATTGTTTTATTTTAAAAAAAATAAAGACCTATAGCAGCGCTTTTGAAAGCGCTTTTGTAAATCCTCCTATAGCAACACTTTATCCTTAAAAGCGTTTTCATAAACCCCGCCTTTAGCAGCGCTTTATGAAAGCGCTTTCTAAAGTTTGCCTTAGGCAGGACCTATAGCAGCGCTTTATGAAAGCGCTTTCGTATTCCCCCCTATAGCAGCGCTTTCTATTGTATTGCAAAATAACAACCTTTAGCAGCGCTTTTAAGAAAGCGCTTTCTAATGCCAACGCTTTTTTTCTTCTTTTTGTTTTTAAAATCTTTAGCAGCGTTTTTATAGAAAGCGCTGTCTTTGATGTGCTGCCAAAAATTATTTTTGGCGTAGTGATAAAATTTAACAAATAGTATAATGATTCAGATATCTAATAAATGGTTTAGTTTAAGAAAAATTGTCTTCTAACACTTCGGCGCGATTTAAAATTTTTAAATACCAAACAAATTATTTTAGTTCAATTCAGTTTTAAGTAAATTGAAACAATTTAATTCAGTTTGAATAAATTTTTATTATGTTCGATTTATTTCCATTTGATTTTCTCACAAACATCCTAGTTTTTTATTTTAAAATCTTAATACGAACATCTTAGTTATAACCGAAAGAAAGAAAAAAAGAAGAAAAAGAAAGAGAGAGAATGCTTATTATGTTAAATGTGTATGAAATAAGCGCGGCAAATAAATAGTCAATAAATATCGTTATTTTTATTTTTAATCTCTTGTATTTGATCCTACAAAATAGATTTGAGTAAAGTTTTATTATGTTCGATTTATTTCAATTTGATTTTCTCCCAAACATCCTAGTTTTTTTTTTTAAAATTTTGATATGAAAATTTTAGTTAAAACCGAAAGAAAGAAAAAAAGAAAGAAAAAAAAGAAGAGAGAATGTTTATTATATTAAATGTGTATGAAATAAGCGTGGTAAATAAATATTCAATAAATATCTGTTATTTTTATTTTTAATCTTTGTATTGGTTCCTACAAAATAGGTTTGATGTAATAAATTGACTCACATTCGTTGCTATTTTTCTGAAATTATAAAACAGATCATAAGGTTCCAAAATATATTACTCACTATTTTGCACATTTATAGTAAGGAACAAGTCTTTAGGAAAAGTAAAAGTATTTTAAACCGTTATTTTTTTTACGGTTCCTTCCAATATTCATTTTTATTAAACTTCATAAAAAAAAGATAAACCACTATTTAGTTCCATCTTCTTCTTATTCTAATTCATGTTATCATCTCTGACATTTTCCTCTCTTCTACTTTCCCTTTATTCTCTTTCCCTTCCATTTCCCTTCCCCACCCGTGCCCATTTCTCCATCAATTTTTCTTTCTCTCCCAATTCACTTCTCACTTTTCTTCTCTCTCTATCTCTCTTTCACCAACATTCAATGCTATATTACTGTCTCCAACAACGTTAACATAAACATGTTTACACCTTCCAACATCATCAAACACACTCATCATTGCTTCAAACAAACCAATCTCATCAACAATATCCATACCATGAACCTTCACTCTCCCAAAACTCTACGAATACGTTACACCGACGAAGACGCCACCGACTCTTCCTCCGACGATAACCAACCGCCGCGCCGCAGAGTCAAGACCTTCGTCAACGAGATCACCATCGCCAGCAGAAACATTCCGAGGAAAAACAACAGACGTAAAATCAAAACCAACACCAAAACTAGAGCTCCGGCTATCCAACGGAAGCCGGTGATTAACTCCGGGAAGAAATACCGAGGAGTGAGACAGAGACCTTGGGGGAGATGGTCGGCGGAGATAAGAGATCATAAAATGAGCGTAAGACTGTGGTTAGGAACTTACAACACTGCTGAAGAAGCTGCTAAGGAGTACGATAAAGCTGCCATTAAAATCCATGGTGCAAACGCGGTTACAAATTTTATTCAACCGGTTCATAACGTTACAAACTCTGATAACATTTCCGGTGAACAATGTGTAAGCAGCAACAACAACGTTGTATCTGCAAATTCAGTAGTTGGTCAGTGTAGTACTTCAGAAAGTGAACACGAAACAGTGAAAGACGATGTTGTTGTTGTTCCTGTTCCAACTGAAAATGATAAAAAGATGAAATCTGATTCTGAGTCAGTTTTTCCGCTTCCTTGTGATAGTTTATTCGATGGGTTTGAAAGAAACTGTGTATTTGGTAACGAGAGAGAGATGGAAAACATGTTTTCTTTTCCTGATGATGATTTTAGTGGCAAATTTGTTGATACCATGAGTCCAAGTTTGTTGAACTGGAAAAGAGATTGTGATATGTTTCAGGATATAGGTGATTTGTTTGGTTCGGATTTTGGTACTTCGGTTTGATTGATGGAGGAATAAAGGCAAGTTTTGTAACGGTGGTGATAGGGGTTGCAATTAGTTTTTCTTATTTTGTTTTAGTTTTGATTACGGTGGTACTATTACGTTAGTAATGAGAAAGTTAATGTTCTAATTTCCGTTTATTCATTATTATATGTATATCGCTGAGCCATTACAATCGACGTTGTTGCATCCAATTAATGGTGTATCGATGAGTAAGTGACTCCTATTTATAAGGTAAATAAAATACAACATAACAATACAATGGTAAACAAACAACTTCTCAACTCTTGAGCTAACCAGAATCAGAAAACCAATAAAAAATACAAAAATAAAAACAGACACTATAAAAAAAGCCAAAGAGAATAACCTCAATCAAGAGAGTGACAAAAACAAACCTAAATATCATATAACTATAAATAAACAAAAGGAAAAAACTTCAAAAAGTCTTCCATCATATAGTACCTAAAAAATTGTTCCATCAAAAGATGTATGCACCGAAAAGAGTTCGCGTAAAGTGATCATTGATATTTCGTGGATAGAAGTTAAGCGAATATAATATGCAGGAGAACATTCACATTCATCGTAAATGCGATAATTTCACCCTTTGTTATAGAGCCAGGGAGGATAAAGTGGGTTAGTTTGGAGAATTTTATTTTGCAAGTGTGATGTTTTTAACAAGGATATCAATTATTGATGATGATAATTAATGTCTTATGATAAGTCAAGCATGAACATTTAAATAGATAAAGATACAAACTTAATCTTAGGATTTGATGAACTTGACTATCTGATGATGGCAACTAATCACCACTGATTTTTATTTATTTCCATAGAGGAAAAAGGAAAATATCGAATAAAATCCCTAAAAGAAAGAAAATGATATGGTCATTGTAACCAATATCTGAGTTCAGGAGTCGGTTACGCAAGAGGAAGATATTAGCACTCCTTATGTCCGTTGTACTCAACGGAAATCATATAGTTAGGGTCAAATGAATGTTAGCTTATGTTAGATTCTAATCTTCTGTTTAATGAGTGGGAAAGAAAGTGAAGAGAAATATTTTTAGATTATTATTAAAGAGATAGGGGGTCTAAGGGTTTATTACTAAGGGGCTCGACAAAACTTCGCAATCTCGTGCCTACGTATCCTCATAGTGTAATGAGGAACTCAGAACCTTTGTAGTTCGGGGACTATAGTAAAAAAATAGAAAAGGTGGCTCGCCAAGGATTAGGGTCATTGTGCCTACGTATCCTCATTGCAAAATTAGAAATCAGAGCGTCTGTAGTTCTGAGTAAAAAGAGTTTGCTTGTTGTTCGACTTTTGAGAAAGATATTTAGTCGCATTCGACAGAAAACATACCCAAAACAGGTGAGGATCAGACGTTTGTGTCACAACAAAATGGATTTACAAATCAACATTCATGGGAAACGTCTCTTATCTCAACTCAAGTAGTTTGTGGATGAAGCAATGTTTTGCGTCGTTTCAAGACACAATAACTTTCGCTTACGCACTATGCCAAAAATGGCCTTTAGCAGCGCTTTTTTTGAACTTTAGCAGTGCTTTAAAGCGCTGCCTAAAGTGGCGCTGCTAAAGGTAAAGGCAACGCTTTTTTTGTGTGGAAAAAGCGCTGCTAAAGGCATCACTTTTAGCAGCGCTTTTTTACCCCTTTAGCAGCGCTTTACAAAGCGCTGCCTATTCTCCCTCCCCCTCCCCCTTTGTAGACCACCCTTTAGCAACGCTTTTTTAAAGTGCTTTCTTAGACCCCTCCTTTCCTAACCTATAGCAGCGCTTTTTTATGCCTATTTTTCCCCCTTTAGCAGTGCTTTCTTGTAAAAGCGCTGTCTATACTTCACGTTTTTAAAATTTGTTTTTTTGAAAAATCACATTTTTTATATATTTTTAGACAAACCTGCTTATAACAATTAAATTCCTTGCTTATAATTCAGGCCTTAAATATAACTTGGCCTTTAAACATTGTAATTCAACACTTAACCTTTAATTCAACACAATATAATTAAACATTGTACATTATACAATAACACTTTGCAATTTACACATAATTAACTCAAGTATAATTTACACATAATTTAAACATTGTACATTATACAATATACAATATACAATATACAATATACAATTTACACATAATTACAAATCCAATATACATTATAGAATTCTTAACTCAATCATAAATTGACACCATTCTTCCTTAATTTCTTCCAATTTTACTTTCGAGTACGTAGCGCATTTGAATTTATCAAAATACTACATAATATAACAGAACAAGCACGATTTAATACTAATTACTCAGATGAAATATTAGTTAATTATCAAAATGAATCATATAACTCATGAATTGATCCATACCATGATTGGAATCTCTAATTGACCAGAAAGAATGATTTCCTTCATAAAGCGCAGTACAAAATATCCGCAGTCAATCCTACCACGCTAACGAGGACACTGTATTAGAAAAAAAGCGAACGAACATTTATCAGGATATATAGTTTAAATAGTTTTATAAGTAGAACCACTATAACAGTCAAACATTGGAAAATATACCTCCACTCTGATCCAGTTGATGTTGCTAGCCCTATTTTTTGGCACTGTTGCATCTCTCTGTGCTCTGTATATTTGTATAACTCTAACATAATATAAACACATATTTAGAACAATGTCACATAATAAATAAACATATATAATTATTCAGAACACTATATATCATCACTTACGTATCAACCATGTTCTTCAGATTTTCATATTTGTTTGTATCGTCATCCAATGAATCTATATAATACACTATTTCTTTAATCGGATTAATTGCGACCAACAACCAGTGACCACTATAAAATAAGACAACAGTTTAGACGGAAATGTTATATAATATGGCAAAAATCGAACAATTATAATAAATGAATTTAGAATAAAAACTAACCCATGGCCAGTATTATATGGCAACATAAACAACTTCTCCGTATTCGCACCTATAAATCTCTGGACTGTGTACTCTTTGACTGCTTCTGGTGTCTGGTCTATTGTTCGTGAGTTGACACTGCTAGTAGATAAGAATGCGAATACTGAAGTCAAATCAGCGGGGACCAACAACTTGTCATACAAGAGCCTAAAAAAAATATAATCAACATCAGATTATTCAGTTAAACGAGCGAATTTTAAAATGTTCAATTATCTAATTAAAATGGATCGAAGTACCTGATGTAGGAATGCATAACCCCGACGCCCAATTCTAAATGTTTGAAAACCTGGTCGAAATCCTCCTTAGCAAGTGTTTCAGAATATTCAAAACCGAAAATACCTTGATCCATATGTATTAGACGGATGCCGCCCTCAGGCACGTCTGTTGTCCCTATATATGTTTGAAGGCACATCCTAAATTGAGGAACAAATGCTCTTTTTGTCTCGACCTTTTTTTTGGGCACCTTGAAAGTTTCAGGCATGTTTCCCTTGCTGACTTGTTGCGACTGCTGATCAAGAACCTAAAAGTCATATATAAGTTCAGTAAATAATTTATAATAAAATAATCACTTAAACTGTAGTACTAGTACCTGTAACTTTGATGCAGCTGAATCGGTATCCCGCACAATAATTTTATCATCTTTTGTTTTGGATTTTGTGGGAGTCTAAGATCATCATGTCAATAAGAAAGTGTAAATGTCAGAATAACTTTCATGTATGGGTAATAAAACATTGGAATATTACAAGGTTCAACCTACCTCATCATCTATGAAAATGAGATTCGCCGGCCATGCTACATAAGCTCCTATCGCGTCTCCCACCACTGTTGCGTCTGATACATCGTCTGGTATAGGCAACAACGCCCCCCCCTCTAATGCAATATCAACAGATACTTTCAAATGCCCAGCAGGGAGGGGTTTATGGTGAAGTAAGTCTCCCAGGGTGTTATGCACCTTTCCCTTGCCAACCATGCGATAAGTCGGCGACGATAAATATAGTCGACAAGGTGAAATGTCCTAAACAAATAATGATCAGTTAATGTGTCAATTAAGAAAAATGTGCTAAATTAATTTCAATGTAATATATACAATTACCTCTGGAAGCTTCTGCGGACAACCGATACTATCTTTGTCACTAGTAGCTTTACCGGCCTCTAGAGCACGCCTTTCGGACATGTATCTCTCCTTATCCTTCTGTAATTCACGAATTTGAGATTTCATTTCCTCCAAAGTAGCCATCACTTCTTTATTGGTTGGATTTTTTTCCTTGGCTGCTTATACAGTTTGGATGGAGTGACACCAAATCCCTTGCCCCTCACACGCCCAGAGTACTCAGGAATATTCAACACCCGACTCAATAAACTCCTGCAATCATCGTCTTCAGCAGGAGTTATAGTCTGGGATAGGGACTCCTGAAATATAGATAAAAGCATATTTAAATATTTTATATACTTTGTTCAAACACTTTGTTCAAAAACTAATGTTGTACTTAGACATTGTTCAAACACTTGTTGAACTTCTTCTTGGACGGCTCCATCTCTTCCCACCCGGGCAGCCTTCCATACGACATGGTCCGAAAGAGATGTCGCATCACTTTTCTCCTCTTCCAACTACGCATTAAGACGAACAATAATGCATTATATCCTATTATGTATACTTACTATTTTTTGTAAATAGATCATATTAAAGCATATATATGCACTTACTAATTTTTGTTCTAAGCGTGCATATCCCAAACGCCCCTTTCTATATGGATACGCAGGGTTTGATGCCCGTTCCCGATTTACGCCACTCTTAACCTGAAAAAACAAGTTTAAGTCATATCAGTTTGTTTGTGGAATAAGTATATATACTATACATTGTTCATGATAAGCTGTACTTACTTCAAATTCTTTGGTTCTTCGCTTCGCAACAAATGTCTCCCATTCTGCATCCGAAATCAAATCAGCGTACTTCGCTGGACGCTCTGAGTCTACAAAGTTGCCATCAGAATCTTTAAGAAATTTGTTGGTTAAAAACGCTCTAAATCCCCT